CCGGCTGAAAAAATCCCGGGAGCGGCCTTAACCTTTGACACTGTCATCCACGAACTCCTAGGGTGGATCTACCAGCCGGCGTAAAAACTTCGGATCCAACAAACACAGGTAATGCTGTGATTTGGCGGGATACGCAGGAGAACGAAAAGGGGGTAAAATAACCCCGGGAGATCAGTGGATGATAATATATCTGGGGCCTGCCATACGTTCCCATACTCATACTCATACTCATCTAACTGCTGTCAATAAATGTTATCTCAATTTTTTTTCAAATTCAACTTCAGCCAGTGGGCGAAATACTATTTCGCTCACTGGTGGGAGAAGTAAAATTTCGCCGACTGGTTAAAGTTAAGAAATGAAATGGGAATTGAATAATAAAAATATTGTTCCAATAAATTACAATATTTAGCTATTTTTACATACTTACATGAATATAATTTTAAACATTGTTCAGATATTTGGAACGAAATTTTACTTTTATGAAATAATTGAGGAATAGTATATTCTGTAACAAGTTTGGAATACAGCATATTCCGCTCGAGTGAAGAGTTTGTCACACGAGCCGAAAGCGAATTTGACGGTTTTACGAGAGCGGAATATGCAATTCCAAATGTGTTTCAGACTATACTTTTTCTACGTTTCCAAAAAATACCATAGAAAAATAATTTAATTGAAAGAAAGTGAGGTTGGATCAGTCTAAAATTTGTTAAATATTAAAAACAGAGATGTCGCCATGAGTGTTTATTCTGTCATCCGATGATAGAATATTTCATTCTGTAACACTCCATAGATAAAAGTGATATTAGAACGGTCAAATTCCGTAATAGGAGTAGAAAACATAATTTAATTGGGAAAAAAGTCAGTTTCTTTCGACAGATGTAAACTACATTATTATAATAATGATTTTGGAATAAGCTTTGTCAGTTTGTTTGCAATATTTACACAGTCCAACAAAAAACTTTAAACCGGATTTAATTGTTTTTTTTCCTGAAAGTAAGTATACATATTTAACAGTAAAAAAAATATTTTAATTTTTTGGTTTTTGCAAAAAAAAACATTTTACAGGACTTTGAATTTATTTATAATTTATCTTTTAAGTTAAATGGATTTTTAAATTGCACCTTAAAAACCTTCATTTTATGTTTCAATCTTTTTCAGGTTTACGTAATGCCAAACAATAAAGCGGAGCGGAGGCCGCGGGATACCAGCTAGTAATATAAAGAATTCAAACTTTGTATTTTTTCCCTCATTTCAAACAATATTTTCGATATAGCTTAAAAAAATAGTAAAATGTTATAATATTAAATAATATATTATATTATAAATTTTATAACTATATAATTTAACAGAAAAATGTACACCTGATGAATTGATTGGCTTGTCTGCAAACCCTAAAAAACTCATCTTGTGTTTATTTTTTTATTTTCTAGCCACATATTTATGCCAAATTTGGACTTACATAGCAAGTAGGCGAATTTAATTTTTGAAACGTCTCTGTAAGATCGCTTATCGAACTTTTCTATCGTGTGGTAATTAATAAATTTTCTAAAAAATATTCAGAAATTAAAGTTTCTCATGGACTGTTTTTTAAAAACTGGATCTGTTTTAAATTAAAAAAAAAAACAAACAGTTGAACGAAAACGATGCAACCCAACCCAACCCAACAACACAGCAAAAATCACACCTTCAAAAAATCTTCAAGCAGAACAAAATTAATCCGTTTAAACCACACGTTTGGTAAAAAATGGATGAAAAGGAATTCAAAAAGCTGTACAAAACGCTTCCTTATTCATTATTATTACATCAATAGTTCCCGAGATTTGACAATTTGAAATTCGTCAAATTAATCAAAATCGAAAATTTCATCTGATCTTTATATTATTCTTGAACCACCCGAAAAAAGAGGTCTTTTTTTGGATTTCACTTAAATTACCACATTTATTGTTATTGTTAAAAACTACATAACTTTATGTTAAGTTTACAACTGTAATCGAATAAGTAGTTTGTAATTATAACAGACATTTTGTAGATTTAATAACAAAATTCTATGTCAATAATTTAACCATAATTCTTGTAATTTTCAAAAAGGACCCTATTTTACAAACCTTTTTGTATACCCAGTAACAAAAGTATTTGTTGAAAATTGCAAACTTAAATAAAAAAATTGATAAGAAATATTGCTTTATTAATCAATTTCCTTAACAAAAAAATTAACACATGACTACATAAATGAACCATTCTAAAATCATCAAATTAAAAAAAAAAAATTTATACAATATAACTATCACTGATAGTCTATAAGTAATACTACAACACTTAGGTCCGGTTTATCAATGTCCAGTTAAAGTTGCAGTTAGTTATCTGGCAGATAATCTCCATGGATACCATTGTTCTCACAACGATCGATATACAATTTAACTGTCACTCGTTAAATAGGTATGAGGAATCCGAATAACAATAATAACATAATTCTGGTAACATATTATAAACACTCTGGACAGTTGTTATGAACACGTTACGAATTAGAATAAAGTAAGTAAAAACATAAGTTGCAGACGCTGAAACGATAAAAAGGTCAGTGAGAAATGTTTTGACTGGCTGCCCGAAATCACGTGTACTTTTTAAATAATTTTTTACTAATAACCCTTACCTTTCGGTAAAATATTTTCTTTGTTAAAATAATTAAAAACCCTGTTTTTGTACAAAAAATTTTGTTAAAATTTTACAAAATAAAATTAATAAACTACAAATTCATGTTAACAAATCTGTAATACATAACATTGTGTAACTTTTAGCTTAGCACTGCAGAATAACTGACATATAACAATTGTGACAGTGGCATTTTTTTTTAATTAATAATTTACCGCCTACCAATAGTTTCCTGAAAAATTTCTAAAATTCTCTGCAATTTCTTACTTACTTACGCATGCATATATGCGTTTAAATATAAAAACAAAAGATATTATTGAATTCTTCTTTTTTTTGAGTATTTCATTTATAATATAATATATTTGTAAATGGAAATATTGTATTTGGCCAATAGGCCTCGTAAATTATTTTGACCAATGACAAAATAACTAAATCAAAATATGTATATAAAATACAAGCAGGGCCGGCAATATGGCAGAATATGTATATATATTAAGAATATTTTTTTTCTTCTCGTCTCTTGTAAAAATATGTTGGTTTGTCATGTTTTAAGAGCCCTGCCAAAAGATCAGCACTATTAAAAATTTTTTAGGGGTCGCTCAAGATTTTTAAAAATTACCAAAATCGTCAAAAATTGGATTTTTTTTTATTTTAATTTTTTTTCTCGTTCCGATATTATTTTTTAATTTAAAAATAATAATGATTCTGAAAATTTCAAATCGATATTTTAATTTCTAAAGGTCGCTCAAGATTTTTTTAACTTTCAAAGTAGAGTATTTTGAATGTTTTCGAGCGACCTCTGAATATAAATATCAACGAACTTTTAGCGACCTTTGGAAATCAAAATATTGATTTGAAATTTACAGAATTTTTATTATTTTCAACCTAAAAAATAATATCGAGACGAGAAAAAGAATTAAAATAAAACAAAAATTCAATTTTTGACGATTTTGGTAATTTTTTAAAATCTTGAGCGACCCCTAAAAAATTTTTAATGGTGCTGATCTTTTGACAGGGCTCTTAAAACATGACAAACCAACATATTTTCACAAGAGACGAGAAGAAAAAAAATATTCTTTTTTTTTGGGCCACCCTAATGTATACATAGAAAATCAAAACACGAAATTTCACTGAGTAGTGAATCAGATACTCAAATATAGCGTTTAATGAAAATTGGTCACTATAGTATATAGTAGTGTATAGTATATTTAAAATATTGCTCTTTTGTCCTGTGTGTACAGGGTGATCCCCTATAATGTCGCCCCCCTTTAACTTTTTTATTTTAAGTGTCCCAAAAAAATTAAAAGTGTGGTTATGTAGGAACTAAAAAATACTTTTTTCTACGTATAAAGAAAATTGGAAAATTGATTAGTATACAGGGAAAAACAAAAAGTTAATTTTTTTTCAATGGATCACCCTATATATGAATTTATTTTTCGATTCCTTGTAAAGCATATTTCAAATATCATACCATATACCTAAATTCAACCGTTTCTGAAATATTTAAATTATTTTTAAGATAATAAGTTGAAATAGTTTGTCTTTCTCTGTCTGAGTACGCCATTTTTACTTATTTAACAACACTTATTGACATAATGTCACTATAGTAATTTATTTTCAATAAAAATTTTGGTATACTGAGGCTTCTTGATTTTTAACAGTTTAAAAAAACATTTAATGATGACATTTCGAATGCGAATATTTCAGAAACGGTTGAATTTAGGTATGTGGTTTGTATATAAATTATGTTCATAATTTTACAAGGAATCGAAAAATAAATTCAAATATAGGGTGATCCATTGAAAAAAATAAACTTTTTCCTACATAACCACACTTTTAAATTTTTTGGGACACTTAAAATAAAAAAGTTAAAGGGGGGCGACATTATAGGGGATCACCCTGTACTTAACCAGTAAAGTAAATAATAACTTTGAATTAATTGCTAAAATGGTGCATTTACATCACATAGAATTCGATTAACTAAGCAAAGGTGTCGTATTTTCCTAAAATATTAGTCAAATTAACCTGTGAATCATAGTTTTCTTATGATAAGTACACCAAGATAATTTATTGCTAGTTTGTAATTACATTGTAAGGTTGGGGGTATTGTTAAGATATCAAATTCCGCCTACGGTTACAATTAGTTTTCATTGTAAATTGATACGATTAAGGCTCTTTGTAGCAACAAGAATTGATAAGAAGTTAAATGAGAATCCAAAACAACTGTCAGATAACCATAAAGACTTATTGTTTTGTTTAAATTAATTAATGTTTGTTTTATCGGCGTGTTCAGTTTTCTTGCAATTATGCTTTAAAAATACCCAGGAAAGTTCAAATTAATTTTTATTTACCTGTCTTTCGTAAAGGAAAGTCGTTGCTCGTTGCTGATTCAGATCCAGTGTCCATTCCCTCTGACCTATAACAAAAAATATATTTAATAACAACGTATTAGTTAAATGCAAATAAATAATAATTTTATACTTTTACTGAATTAATAATTCACTGTTAAAAGTGACTAGGTTACATTTGTGACAATTGCATCCGAAAATACAACCATTTGATATAGAATAAGAGATATTTATAAATTTGTACGTACAGTACAGCATAACAAATGCAAAACGCAAATTATGCTTGAAGCCTAGGGTGTTTCATTTTTTCAAAGATGTGATTTTCATACGACTTTGCTTACGCCCCGAGTCTCAGTGATGAAAAAGATATATATGCCAAATTTTAAGAAGATTGGATAATATTTAGGGGTGGCACACATTGACCACTTTTATCTCATACTAGTGAAATTTAGGTATCCGGAATTTTGTTGGAAAGGAATTTGTTTGAACCAGTTTTATTTTATTTGCAAGGTTATTTAATTTAAGATCATTTAATTTGTAAGGTAAAATACAACATTTCATTTTATTTGAAAGGTAAAATAATAATTGTTATTGTAATTACATTAATCCATATTAATCTCTGCATTTATAAATAGGTATACCTAAATTGGTTTAAATTCCCTTACAACAATTGACAACCTCAGTTATAGAACCGAAATTAAACTTTAAAATGGGAACCAAAAGAGGAATTTGGCTGCTAGAAAAGTTGCCTAGTGATGAGTTTTTAGGAGCGCGGCTCCCTTCAAAGGAACAAGTACTTTTAGTTTTTATTTACCATCACAAGGAAATGAAAGAAACACTTTCGGGTGCTGCTAAATCTACCAGTACTAAACTACAGGAAGTGTGGAGGAAAGCAAATATTCCTGTTAAGACGGAGGAGAATATCCGTGCTGGTATACAGAAACTGTTACACCAAAATCTGGTATTAAGACTTTTAGTTGAAAAAGTCAGCTTATACTTATAAGTTTCGGTAGTAACAGTGCCTGTCGACTAAACTTACCAGTGGAGAGGGGTGTGGTTCAAAATAATAAATGAAACGATTAATAAAATGTTCAAGGTCAAGTGGGCGCCAGGTAATTTACAACAAAATTTAGGCACCAAGAATACTTACTAACAAAAATTACCAAATTTAGTAAGTGAAATTAAAGAAAACTCAAGTATAAGTACAATTACAACTATATTTAGACTAGACCGGGGTTATTTCCTTTAAATGTAGTGTTACAGATCTTAAAAATGGTGTTCAAATTGTCCAACAAAAAAAATATATATAATATAAAAGGTAGGGATTAAGATAAGTGAAAAAGTTATAAATGTTCTAAGTTAAGTTATAAGGTTAAAACAATATTTAAACTATTCCAGATTGTCAAATCAATTAAAGTACATTTACCGAACCAATTGGATGTGGTTCAACCAACCCTTGTGATATCACTTAGGCGCACAATGGTAAAAAACTAGAATTTAGGACTATTAAGGTTGGCCAGTTAGGCAACCCAGTATACACGAATTTTCCAACATTTCTAGGTACTCTAAATAAATTAAACATAAATTTGTTATTCAAAAGTAAATTGAATTTCTATAAGGTATTACGCGAAAATTAAACCCAAACTACCCTTTTTTAAGGGCTGAAAATAACTAAAACGGTTTTAAGTCCCTAGAAATATTAGAAAAGTTGATATAGTTATATTATAGTTAAGTAATGACATATAAACAAAATATTCTTCTGTCGAATTGACAGTTAGTACAGATTAACCAAGGTAAGTAAATATTAAATTATATCTACTAACCATAATATGGAGTAAAATATTTCATATTCAACGATAGCAAGGTAAGTTAAGGAATCAAAAAAAGAAAACGGAAATATCCAAAATTAGAGTAGAGAAATATAGTGCAACTTATCCAGAGCCGGTAGGTCCAGTAGCTGATGCTGTCAGGGTAGAAAGTGTGGTCAAATCCAGTGGTTGTAGTCAATCCGGGGTGCTACTCATTCGGACGTAGACTTGGTCTCTGCTTGCGGGAATATTTTGTCACAATCGGGTAGGTATAGTCCAAATCGGTGTCACAATCGGGTAGGTATAGTCCAAATCGGTGCTTGTTTTCACAGGGTGAGCCCCACAAAACAATTGGAGATAATTGTGAAATGAAATTAATCCAATGACAATCAGTTCCCAACTAGGGAAATACGTATAACTGAATTCGATACGTATGATTAGAACGTATTATTAGAACGTATTGTTAGAACCCTACAAATGAAACACAACGAAATTACTTACGAATCTGCAAAATAAATAGAAATAGTTTTGAGGTCACTTACGCGTGGTTGAGGTATTCCCAGAGAAAACGAATAAAATGCCTCAACGGTGTTGTGTGCGGTTAAAGTATTTATCTTCTGATTTCCAACCTAACAAGAGATATAGGTGACGATAACGAAAAATAGGGTTAAATGATTCTTACCAAGGCGTGCCCAATTAATCCGGATATACCGATTGATTTACAGGCTCCAAATTCCAAAAATAGGTATCACAATTAGCCTGAATAAATCCACAGCAGGTTATTCTAAGATTTAATCCCGAAAACAACTTCGGATGGTTACAATAAAACCAACTATTTAGAAATTCCTGGGAGACACGCACTCAGTCAGAAGTACAGAAGAACAATCCATGGCTGAAACCCTTTTTCCGGTCTCAAGATAATGCGCAATAGATGACCAATTAAAATTAATTGTTAAGGGCAAAAAAATTTGAATTTTTCAAATTTCCGGCAAGTTAGAGGAATTTGTCTAGTGACACTGACAGGTTGGCAACACTGAATGTTTGACATCAAAACAAATGAAGATAACCCAATTTTGCAGACTCAAAATAAGGACAAAACAAAGTAAGTACACTATGATTTCCTTACATAACAACAGAAAGCAAGTAATAAACGCATACCTAACATTTTAGATATCGCCTAACCCAACTTTTTGGTCAGAGTTTGTCTAACCAGTTCCCACAAAAATAACATTCAAACAAGGAAAAATAGGTAAGTTTACACAAAATCTAGTAACGTAACGATTGAAATGTTTATTTTTTTAGATCCCTAGAGACCATAGAACCTAGGCAAGGTGGAATTTCCTGCTTAAGACACTGCTTTTACTAGCCATGGGAGGTTCCACATCTACAACCGAAACAAGATATAAAATACACCACCAACAGATAAATACCGGATAGACAGGACCTTAGATGTTTGAAAATTCAATTCGGTAAATTCTAACACTACAATAAGTTATGGAAAAGTGATTTTTAGCAGTAAGTGAACTTGTATAAATTACTAAAATTAAAAAGATTTGAAAGTAAAATTAGCATTACTCTTAGCAAAAATAAAAAGGTAACAACTCCCCCCTTTCATAAAGAGAGAAATCGATAGATTTCGATAATTAACAAAATCAACACTAAATTAAATAATAGAGATAAACTAATATGATTCATTATATGAATTAAGGTAAGTAACAAAAAAAACTCTAAGTTGTGTCAGAGGGATGAGCTTTCAAGTCCTGAATGTGATATACACCTTTGAGTTTTCCAAATTCATCTTGAACTTCATAGGCTAAAGGTGAAAGCTTCCGTACTACCGTCATAGGCCCTATAAATTTATGTGCCAGTTTTGCAGCAAAATAATTAGCCCTATCGGATAAAACATGGTTTCGGCACCATACCGTCGAACCCACTTCAAATTCCAGCGGCCTTCTGCGAAGATTATATCGATGTCGGGATTTTTCGTGTGCACTATTAAGCTTTTTCCTGACTTGATCGTAAATTTTTAGAAACTCATGGGAATTATTTAACGGAGTGACACGAACAGAGGTATCCGTTGAAAAGTTTGGATTAGTAAAATAGTCTCCAGCAATAACATGTTCTCTTCCAAAGTTCACAAAGTATGGAGTAAATTCGGTGGTTTCGTGTTTACATGTGCGTAACGCGCAACCAACTTTCGGCAAGATTTTGTCCCAAATTCTTTGGTTTTCTTTAACATACGAAGCTAACATTGTTTTAAGAACTCGATTCACTCGTTCGGTTGGGTTTGCTTGGGGATGATACACAGTGTTAAAAATTATATTAACCTTATATTTTTGACATAAGCCAGTAAATTCCTTGCTTCTATACTGCACCCCATTATCGCATATTATGTGCTGAGGAACTCCAAATAGCAAGAAAATATTATCTTCCATGTATCGCGTGACGGCTGCGGCGGTAGCTTTTCTTAAGGGATGAACCATAGTAAATTTACTGAAGTAGTCGGTTGTAACCAAAATATAGGCGTAACCCTGCGATGAGCGTGGTAACGGTCCCACAAGATCTGTACTAATCATTTGCCATGGTTGTGTAACATAGGGTCTATTTCCCATTAGGCCAGTTGGTTTATGTTGCTCCGGCTTCTGAGCCAAACAGATCGTACAATGCTTTACATGTCTCGTCACGTCACTCTGCATCTTGGGCCAATAGTATAATTGTTTCAGTCGCTCATAAGTTTTGTAAATTCCAACATGTCCAGATGTTTCAGCATCGTGACATTCACTGATTTTTCCTGGTCTTTGATCTTTTGGAACGACCATTTTCCAATCGGCATTACTTGAAGAGATACTGGGGAACTTTTGATGTACCATTTTATACAGGGTGTTATTCTCTACCCTCCATTTAGAAAATTTGAGAGGATTTGCTAAGACTTTAGCGATCATTTTAGCATACCATTTGTCTTTGGAACAATTTAGAGAGGATACTTCTGGGGATGATCGTGACAGCATGTCCGGAACCACATGATCTTTACCTCTTCTGTGTCGGATCTCGAAATCAAACTGCTGTAAGCGAACAGCCCATCGAGCTAGACGCCCTTGTGGCTCTTTAAGGTTGTTCAACCATACTAAAGAATGGTGGTCGGTAATGACAAAAAACTTGTAACCCTCTAGATAAGCTCTGAGCTTTTCAATTGCCCAAATCACCGCAAGGCACTCACGCTCTGTCGTTGAATAGTTACGTTCAGTGCGGGAAAGCGTCCG